CTATAAAGAGTGTGTCATTTCTTAAGACCAAGAGAGAGAGGAGTTTTAGGGTAAACCATAGGGCAGATAATTTTGATTAGTTTCAGTCCCAATTAAGTTCTAGTTCATTTGTAGTTTAGTTCTAGTTCAGTTCTAGTTCAGCTCTAGTTCAGCTCTAGTTCAGTTCTAGTTCAGTTCTAGTTCAGTTCTAGTTCAGTTCTAGTTCAGTTCTAGTTCAATTCTAGTTCAGTTCTAGTTCAGTTCTAGTTCAGTTCTAGTTCAGTTCTAGTTCAGTTCTAGTTCAGTTCTAGTTCAGTTCTAGTTCAGTTCTAGTTCAGTTCTAGTTCAGTTCTAGTTCAGTTCTAGTTCAGTTCTAGTTCAGTTCTAGTTCAGTTTTAGTTCAGTTTTAGTTCAGTTCTAGTTCAGTTCTAGTTCAGTTCTAGTTCAGTTCTAGTTCAGTTCTAGTTCAGTTCTAGTTCAGTTCTAGTTCAGTTCTAGTTCAGTTCTAGTTCAGTTCTAGTTCAGTTCTAGTTCAGTTCTAGTTCAGTTCTAGTTCAGTTCTAGTTCAGTTCTAGTTCAGTTTCTAGTTCAGTTCTAGTTCAGTTCTAGTTCAGTTCTAGTTCAGTTCTAGTTCAGTTCTAGTTCAGTTCTAGTTCAGTTCTAGTTCAGTTCTAGTTCAGTTCTAGTTCAGTTCTAGTTCAGTTCTAGTTCAGTTCTAGTTCAGTTTGTAGTTCAGTTCTAGTTCAGTTCTAGTTCAGTTCTAGTTCAGTTCTAGTTCAGTTCTAGTTCAGTTCTAGTTCAGTTCTAGTTCAGTTCTAGTTCAGTTCTAGTTCAGTTCTAGTTCAGTTCTAGTTCAGTTCTAGTTCAGTTCTAGTTCAGTTCTAGTTCAGTTCTAGTTCAGTTCTAGTTCAGTTCTAGTTCAGTTCTAGTTCAGTTCTAGTTCAGTTCTAGTTCAGCTCTAGTTCAGTTCTAGTTCAGTTCTAGTTCAGTTCTAGTTCAGTTCTAGTTCAGTTCTAGTTCAGTTCTAGTTCAGTTCTAGTTCAGTTCTAGTTCAGTTCTAGTTCAGTTCTAGTTCTGTTTTAGTTCAGTTCTAGTTCAGTTCTAGTTCAGTTCTAGTTCAGTTCTAGTTCAGTTCTAGTTCAGTTCTAGTTCAGTTCTAGTTCAGTTCTAGTTCAGTTCTAGTTCAGTTCTAGTTCAGTTCTAGTTCAGTTCTAGTTCAGTTTAGTTCAGTTCTAGTTCAGTTCTAGTTCAGCTCTAGTTCAGTTCTAGTTCAGTTCTAGTTCAGTTCTAGTTCAGTTCTAGTTCAGTTCTAGTTCAGTTCTAGTTCAGTTCTAGTTCATTCTAGTTCAGTTCTAGTTCAGTTCTAGTTCAGTTCTAGTTCAGTTCTAGTTCAGTTCTAGTTCAATTCTAGTTCAGTTCTAGTTCAGTTCTAGTTCAGTTCTAGTTCAGTTCTAGTTCATTCTAGTCAGTTCTAGTTCAGTTCTAGTTCAGTTCTAGTTCAGTTCTAGTTCAGTTCTAGTTCAGTTCTAGTTCAGTTCTAGTTCAGTTCTAGTCAGTTCTAGTTCAGTCTAGTTCAGTTCTAGTTCAGTTCTAGTTCAGTTCTAGTTCAGTTCTAGTTCAGTTCTAGTTCAGTTCTAGTTCAGTTCTAGTTAGTTCAGTTCTAGTTCAGTTCTAGTTCAGTTCTGTTCAGTTCTAGTTCAGTTCTAGTTCAGTTCTAGTTCAGTTCTAGTTCAGTTCTAGCTCAGTTCTAGTTCAGTTCTAGTTCAGTTCTAGTTCAGTTCTAGTTCTGTTCTAGTTCAGTTCTAGTTCAGTTCTAGTTCAGTTCTAGTTCAGTTCTAGTTCAGTTCTAGTTCAGTTCTAGTTCAGTTCTAGTTCAGTTCTAGTTCAGTTCTAGTTCAGTTCTAGTTCAGTTCTAGTTCAGTTCTAGTTCAGTTCTAGTTCAGTTCTAGTTCAGTTCTAGTTCAGTTCTAGTTCAGTTCTAGTTCAGTTCTAGTTCAGTTCTAGTTCAGTTCTAGTTCAGTTCTAGTTCAGTTCTAGTTCAGTTCTAGTTCAGTTCTAGTTCAGTTCTAGTTCAGTTCTAGTTCAGTTCTAGTTCAGTTCTTGTTCAGTTCTAGTTCAGTTCTAGTTCAGTTCTAGTTCAGTTCTAGTTCAGTTCTAGCTCAGTTCTAGTTCAGTTCTAGTTCAGTTCTAGTTCAGTTCTAGTTCTGTTCTAGTTCAGTTCTAGTTCAGTTCTAGTTCAGTTCTAGTTCAGTTCTAGTTCAGTTCTAGTTCAGTTCTAGTTCAGTTCTAGTTCAGTTCTAGTTCAGTTCTAGTTCAGTTCTAGTTCAGTTCTAGTTCAGTTCTAGTTCAGTTCTAGTTCAGTTCTAGTTCAGTTCTAGTTCAGTTCTAGTTCAGTTCTAGTTCAGTTCTAGTTCAGTTCTAGTTCAGTTCTAGTTCAGTTCTAGTTCAGTTCTAGTTCAGTTCTAGTTCAGTTCTAGTTCAGTTCTAGTTCAGTTCTAGTTCAGTTCTAGTTCAGTTCTAGTTCAGTTCTAGTTCAGTTCTAGTTCAGTTCTAGTTCAGTTCTAGTTCAGTTCTAGTTCAGTTCTAGTTCAGTTCTAGTTCAGTTCTAGTTCAGTTCTAGTTCAGTTCTAGTTCAGTTCTAGTTCAGTTCTAGTTCAGTTCTAGTTCAGTTCTAGTTCAGTTCTAGTTCAGTTCTAGTTCAGTTCTAGTTCAGTTCTAGTTCAGTTCTAGTTCAGTTCTAGTTCAGTTCTAGTTCAGTTCTAGTTCAGTTCTAGTTCAGTTCTAGTTCAGTTCTAGTTCAGTTCTAGTTCAGTTCTAGTTCTAGTTCAGTTCTATATCAGTTCTATATCAGTTCTATTCAGTTCTAGTTCTTAGTTCAGTTCTAGTTCAGTTCTAGTTCAGTTCTAGTTCAGTTCTAGTTCAGTTCTAGTTCAGTTCTAGTTCAGTTCTAGTTCAGTTCTAGTTCAGTTCTAGTTCAGTTCTAGTTCAGTTCTAGTTCAGTTCTCAGTTCTAGTTCAGTTCTAGTTCAGTTCTAGTTCAGTTCTAGTTCAGTTCTAGTTCAGTTCTAGTTCAGTTCTAGTTCAGTTCTAGTTCAGTTCTAGTTCAGTTCTAGTTCAGTTCTAGTTCAGTTCTAGTTCAGTTCTAGTTCAGTTCTAGTTCAGTTCTTCTAGTTCAGTTCTAGTTCAGTTCTAGTTCAGTTCTAGTTCAGTTCTAGTTCAGTTCTAGTTCAGTTCTAGTTCAGTTCTAGTTCAGTTCTAGTTCAGTTCTAGTTCAGTTCTAGTTCAGTTCTAGTTCAGTTCTAGTTCAGTTCTAGTTCAGTTCTAGTTCAGTCTAGTTCAGTTCTAGTTCAGTTCTAGTTCAGTTCTTTCAGTTCTAGTTCAGTTCTAGTTCAGTTCTAGTTCAGTTCTAGTTCAGTTCTAGTTCAGTTCTAGTTCAGTTCTAGTTCAGTTCTAGTTCAGTTCTAGTTCAGTTCTAGTTCAGTTCTAGTTCAGTTCTAGTTCAGTTCTAGTTCAGTTCTAGTTCAGTTCTAGTTCAGTTCTAGTTCTAGTTCAGTTCTAGTTCAGTTCTGGTTCAGTTCTAGTTCAGTTCTAGTTCAGTTCTAGTTCAGTTCTAGTTCAGTTCTAGTTCAATTCTAGTTCAGTTCTAGTTCAGTTCTAGTTCAGTTCTAGTTCAGTTCTAGTTCAGTTCTATTTCAGTTCTAGTTCAGTTCTAGTTCAGTTCTAGTTCAGTTCTAGTTCAGTTCTAGTTCAGTTCTAGTTCAGTTCTAGTTCAGTTCTAGTTCAGTTCTAGTTCAGTTCTAGTTCAGTTCTAGTTCAGTTCTAGTTCAGTTCTAGTTCAGTTCTAGAAAAAAATGTTCATTCAGCCCACCCTATTTATTTATTGCTTATGACTGCAGGAGTTGTTGCATTGTCATGTCGTACTAGAGTACGTATTTTTCATTCCCTCCACTGATCTGTTTTAGTTGTTACTAAATATATCTATATATAATTTAGTTTCCTCCTCTTTTCTCCGTGTGTTATCATCTTAGCATGCATCCGTTTAGTTGTGGCCATCGTCCGTTGTTGTTCGTCTATAATTATGTGTATATTTAACCATTATTTAGTTGCCATAATTTAGTCGCCATCACCATTGCCTTTTGTCTTAGACATGTCGAATGTTTTTAGAATCCAGAAATGTTGCTTTTTGCCTCCTCGCTTAATCGTGAAGTGGCAAAATGCCATTTACAATTACACATACTTTGTTTTAAGTATTTTTTTGTGGTTAATTATGTTTATGTTTATTGAAAGCTTGTAATTAAGACTAAATGCGAGGCATATAAAGTGAAATCAAGATATTTATTTGTTTTATATGTATGCTGTTTTAGAGGAGTAGTAGATATAAGTTATCTACCGGATGTTTTATATAAAATGAAATAAGAATGAAAATTAGATACATTTTATATATCTTCTTTATAATATAGTGATTGACAAATATAATTTAATTATGATATTTATAATGTTAGGAAGTAAACTCATACTATTTATTAAACTGGAATTGACTGGGACTTATGCATTCTGCAAACATTTACTAGAATAGATTTTTACTAGAATAGAAAAAAAAACTAAATTAGTTCATTCTAGTTCAGTGCTAGTTCAGTTCTAGTTCAGTTCTAGTTCAGTTCTAGTTCAGTTCTAGTTCAGTTCTAGTTCAGTTCTAGTTCAGTTCTAGTTCAGTTCTAGTTCAGTTCTAGTTTCAGTTCTAGTTCAGTTCTAGTTCAGTTCTAGTTCAGTTCTAGTTCAGTTCTAGTTCAGTTCTAGTTCAGTTCTAGTTCAGTTCTAGTTCAGTTCTAGTTCAGTTCTAGTTCAGTTCTAGTTCAGTTCTAGTTCAGTTCTAGTTCAGTTCTAGTTCATTTCTGGTTCAGTTCTAGTTCAAATTTAATTGCGTTTTATATCTGTTAATTTCTAGTTTTATAACTCCATCTATATCAATTGATTCCTTAATCTAGTTTAAATATAATTCCTTTTTTTATAATGCTCTTCCAACTCTATTAAGATCCAAACCTATAGTTTAAGTCCTTTATTTCAAAGTGGTAGTATCCTTGAGCAACTTTTAATTTCATAAAATCTAGATTCTTATATAATATAGATTGCTATTCGTAAGGAAATTTCTTCAATAACTTCAGCATTGGTTCCTGTGTCAATTTTCTAGCTTCTTTACCCCAAATCATGGTCACATGATTCCAGTCCTTATAAGGATACAAATTATTGAGAACAACATTCGGTAGAGTTTCCGCCAACTGCTTCACATCTATATGACTGTTTAGGTAATCATTGTAAGCATAATGCAGGCCCACAGGTACTGTAATCTTTTCCAGAGGATAGTCTGGCGGTGAGCTTTGATTGTAACGTTGTATGTTTTCTTCTCTGCCATAATCATATTGACAGAAAACGATTACTCTCTATTAGTTGGAGATAGTGAACAAATTGCTTGAGATTACAGCCGGCTGGGACGTGGCCAACAATTACGGGATACCTGGCCTGTAGGGAGAGTGGTAAGTAGTTAAATAAATTAATGAATACATTTTTATTATACCAAATTTGTTTGCCCATTATCATTTCCCAGCATTTGATTTAAAAATTGAACACACATATTTTCTGCTATTTTCGAAGTAAAACACATATGCAACATCATTTCATTGTGTGGTAAAAATTCTCTTACACGATCTTTGGAGGCTTTGGTAAATTCATAAAATTGACTTACAAAAGGAGTTCTAACATGTTTCAAATATGCCACCGGTGCTAAAGCTTGCATTATGGTTATTTTATCATTATACTGTGGTTGTAGAGAACATAAAACCCAAAAGGCTGTTGTGCCCTGTGAATGACCAAAATAACCTAATTTCTTGAAGCCGGTCCTAGCCAATATGTGATCTATCATTATGGGCAAATCATAGTAACCAATTTCATGCCAACTAAAAGTCCAAAATTCGTCATCTGAATTGGGATTGAGAGTAGTGTGATTGCGAGAATAACGATTACCACGAGCATTACCCAACCAGACATCGTAGCCATTATCGAAGAAGTAACAAGCTGTTTTAGGGATAAAACTAATTATGACATAAACATTAACTATATATAATTGCTTACCTGCTGCTTGTTTAGGTCCCATTATTACCCAGCTGGCTGAACTATCTAATAGACCATGCATAAACAAAACGGGAGGACCTTGGGGCTTTGGTATGCGATGCAAGCACAGTATATAATTGTCATCTGTAGTAATATAATGTGTTTCCAAGGGATACTTATATTTTTCGATAAGTTGAGCCTTAAATACTACAACCGTGTTAATCTTGCAATAGACACCTTTTTGGTATTTTACCCACCGTATCCAAATGTGCATCTTCTATAACCGATTTGGGGTAATTATCCTCTAAATAGTTACCTAGAACTAATGCAAAATTATTGCTGATACAAAAAGTTAATAATATTAGGAAAGATATTTGAAAATTTAACTCGCCCAATTCGTTTAGCATTTCAAAAATATTGATGTTTTTATTTCGAAGTTTAGACACTAATTACTTCATTATTAGATTTATATTTATATTAGAACTGCAAAAAATGTGTTTAATAACATTTATTTAATAGCTTAAGATCATTTTAGCGATAATTTTGCATGCAATTAAATTATAATAAATGTATTAAATTTCGATTATTGTTTAAGTATAAAAATCTCCTGACCTTCTAGCCAATATTAGCTATTAGCATGTATATTTGATGTTTTTTTTCCAAAAATAGTTTGGATAAGACTTTAGGTTTTCAAAAAGAATATGGATGGTCTAGTCTATAGTCTAGTCTATAGTCTAGCCTATAGTCTAGTCTATAGTCTAGTCTATAGTCTAGCCTATAGTCTAGTCTATAGTCTAGTCTATTGTCTAGTCTATAGTCTAGTCTATAGTCTAGTCTATAGTCTAGTCTATAGTCTAGTCTATAGTCTAGTCTATAGTCTAGTCTATAGTCTAGTCTATAGTCTAGTCTATAGTCTAGTCTATAGTCTAGTCTATAGTCTAGTCTATAGTCTAGTCCTATAGTCTAGTCTATAGTCTAGTCTATAGTCTAGTCTATCTAGTCTATAGTCTAGTCTATAGTCTAGTCTATAGTCTAGTCTATAGTCTAGTCTATAGTCTAGTCTATAGTCTAGTCTATAGTCTAGTCTATAGTCTAGTCTATAGTCTAGTCTATAGTCTAGTCTATAGTCTAGTCTATAGTCTAGTCTATAGTCTAGTCTATAGTCTAGTCTATAGTCTAGTCTATAGTCTGTCTATAGTCTAGTCTATAGTCTAGTCTATAGTCTAGTCTATAGTCTAGTCTATAGTCTAGTCTATAGTCTAGTCTATAGTCTAGTCTATAGTCTAGTCTATAGTCTAGTCTATAGTCTAGTCTATAGTCTAGTCTATAGTCTAGTCTATAGTCTAGTCTATAGTCTAGTCTATAGTCTAGTCTATAGTCTAGTCTATAGTCTAGTCTATAGTCTAGTCTATAGTCTAGTCTATAGTCTAGTCTATAGTCTAGTCTATAGTCTAGCTATAGTCTAGTCTAGTCTAGTCTATAGTCTAGTCTAGTAGTCTAGTAGTCAGTCTATAGTCTAGTCTATAGTCTAGTCTATAGTCTAGTCTAGTCTAGTCTATAGTATAGTCTATAGTCTAGTCTATAGTCTAGTCTATAGTCTAGTCTATAGTCTAGTCTATAGTCTAGTCTATAGTCTAGTCTATAGTATAGTCTATAGTCTAGTCTATAGTCTAGTCTATAGTCTAGTCTATAGTCTAGTCTATAGTCTAGTCTATAGTCTAGTCTATAGTCTAGTCTATAGTCTAGTCTATAGTCTAGTCTATAGTCTAGTCTATAGTCTAGTCTATAGTCTAGTCTATAGTCTAGTCTATAGTCTAGTCTATAGTCTAGTCTATAGTCTAGTCTATAGTCTAGTCTATAGTCTAGTCTATAGTCTAGTCTATAGTCTAGTCTATAGTCTAGTCTATAGTCTAGTCTATAGTCTAGTCTATAGTCTAGTCTATAGTCTAGTCTATAGTCTAGTCTATAGTCTAGTCTATAGTCTAGTCTATAGTCTAGTCTATAGTCTAGTATAGTCTAGTCTATAGTCTAGTCTGTAGTCTAGTCTATAGTCTAGTCTATAGTCTAGTCTATAGTCTGGTCTATAGTCTGGTCTATAGTCTAGTCTATAGTCTAGTCTATAGTCTAGTCTATAGTCTAGTCTATAGTCTACTCTATAGTCTAGTCTATAGTCTAGTCTAGTCTATAGTCTAGTCTATAGTCTAGTCTATAGTCTAGTCTATAGTTTAGTCTATAGTCTAGTCTATAGTCTAGTCTATAGTCTAGTCTATAGTCTAGTCTATAGTCTAGTCTATAGTTTAGTCTATAGTCTAGTCTATAGTCTAGTCTATAGTCTAGTCTATAGTCTAGTTTATAGTCTAGTCTATAGTCTAGTCTATAGTCTAGTCTATAGTCTAGTCTATAGTCTAGTCTATAATCTAGTCTATAGTCTAGTCTATAGTCTAGTCTATAGTCTAGTCTATAGTCTAGTCTATAGTCTAGTCTGTAGTCTAGTCTATAGTCTAGTCTAGTATATAGTCTAGTCTATAGTCTGGTCTATAGTCTGGTCTATAGTCTAGTCTATAGTCTGGTCTATAATCTAGTCTATAGTCTAGTCTATAGTCTAGTCTATAGTCTAGTCTATAGTCTAGTCTATAGTCTAGTCTATAGTCTAGTCTATAGTCTAGTCTATAGTCTAGTCTATAGTCTAGTCTATAGTCTAGTCTATAGTCTAGTCTATAGTCTAGTCTATAGTTTAGTCTATAGTCTAGTCTATAGTCTAGTCTATAGTCTAGTCTATAGTCTAGTCTATAGTCTAGTCTATAATCTAGTCTATAGTCTAGTCTATAGTCTAGTCTATAGTCTAGTCTATAGTCTAGTCTAGTCTATAGTCTAGTCTATAGTCTAGTTTAGTCTATAGTCTAGTATATAGTCTGGTCTATAGACTAGTCTATAGTCTAGTCAATAGTCTAGTCTATAGTCTAGTCTATGGTCTGGTCTATAATCTAGTCTATAGTCTAGTCTATAGTCCAGTATATAGTCCAGTATATAGTCCAGTCTATACTCTAGTCTATACTCTAGTCTATATTCTATCCTATAGTTTAGTCTATAGTCAAGTCTATAGTCTAGTCTGTAGTCTAGTCTATAGTCTAGTCTATAGTCTAGTCTATAGTCTAGTCTATAGTCTAGTCTATAGTCTAGTCTATAGTCTAGTCTATAGTCTAGTCTATAGTCTAGTCTATAGTCTAGTCTATAGTCTAGTCTACAGTCTTGTCTATAGTCTAGTCTATAGTCTAGTCTATAGTCTAGTCTATAGTCTAGTTTATAGTCTAGTCTATAGTCTAGTCTATAGTCTAGTTTATAGTCTAGTCTATAGTCTAGTCTATAGTCTAGTCTATAGTCCAGTCTATAGTCTAGTCTATAGTCTAGTCTATAGTCTAGTCTATAGTCCAGTCTATAGTCTAGTCTATAGTCTAGTCTATAGTCTAGTCTATAGTCTAGTCTATAGTCTAGTCTAGTCTATAGTCTAGTCTAGTCTAGTCTATAGTCTAGTCTATAGTCTAGTCTATAGTCTAGTCTTGTCTATAGTCTAGTCTATAGTCTAGTCTATAGTCTAGTCTATAGTCTAGTTTATAGTCTAGTCTATAGTCTAGTTTATAGTCTAGTCTATAGTCTAGTCTATAGTCTAGTCTATAGTCCAGTCTATAGTCTAGTCTATAGTCTAGTCTATAGTCTAGTCTATAGTCTAGTCTATAGTCTAGTCTATAGTCTAGTCTATAGTCTAGTCTATAGTCTAGTCTATAGTCTAGTCTATAGTCTAGTCTATAGTCTAGTCTATAGTCTAGTCTATAGTCTAGTCTATAGTCTAGTCTATAGTCTAGTCTATAGTCTAGTCTATAGTCTAGTCTATAGTCTAGTCTATATTCTAGTCTATATTCTAGTCTATAGTCTAGTCTATAGTCTAGTCTATAGTCTAGTCTATAGTCTAGTCAATAGTCTAGTCTATAGTCTAGTCTATAGTCTAGTCTATAGTCTAGTCTTTAGTCTAGTCTATATTCTATAGTCCTGTCTTTAGTCTAGTCTATAGTCTAGTCTACATTATAGTCTAGTCTATAGTCTCGTCTATAGTCTAGTCTTTAGTCTAGTCTATATTCTACAGTCTTGTCTATAGTCTAGTCTATAGTCTAGTCTATAGTCTAGTCTATAGACTTGTCCATAGTCTAGTCTGTAGTCTAGTCTATAGTCTAGTCTATAGACTATAGACTAGTCTATAGTCTAGTCTAGTCTGTAGTCTTGTCTATATTATTATACAGTTTGGCCAATCAAAACTTTGAAACTCAAATCTGGTAAGTTTTAATCTAATTTTAATTTAAAATAATCATACGCACCGACGTACATAATAAATTTTGTATTGGTTTAAATGTTTATCATACGTACTGTTAGAAATTATGTAAATTAAGGTCAACCAAAGAGAGAAACTCTTTAAATTGTGTTCACAATTTAAATAAGATTTGCCATGTAATTCTCTCTTTATTTTTTAGAGTCCTCATTTCCAACACTTAAATAGGTACCTACCACCTATTTAGGTTCCTTACATAAAAAAATCTAATCAAAAACCAAAACACTCAAAAAGTTGTAAAAATAAATAAATTAAATTGATGCCATTTATGGAAAAAAAATAACATGTGTATCATCTTAACCTGACATGTAGTAAGAGCACTTTAGTCATGTGTCCCATAGGGCAACAGCGCTCATAGCCAAACAAACATACCCATACACACACACATACTCAGACTTAATAGACCAATACTCTGCCATATAAACATGGCGTTATATGTATATGTGTATAGGTATGTTTATTAAAACGAGAGTAAGAGTACGAAAACTTTAAGTACAAACAGGAATATGAGTAAGTACGAGTACAAAAGGAATAAATATATTGTAAGTGTATACTTATTGGATTGTGTTATGCCATGATAACATTTCTAACTCCTAAGGGTCAGAGTGTGAACATATAGTTTATCATGTTAAGTATGTTAAGCTTATATACACACGCTCATACACACACACCGAAACGTATACATAAACACCGATATTAAACAAGCTTATTCGTATGTAGACTTACAGACATATATACGTGTTCATTTTTATAACGTCTGAGTTAAAGATGCATATATACATGTATACAGGAAGTAGGGTTTCCAGACTTAATAAGTATCAGTAAGAAAAAAAATTAAAATAGATGAAAAACTTTATAAACATAAAACTATAATCTATTCTTTACTATAGTCTATAGTATAGTCTATACTATAGTCTATAGTATAGTCTATAGTCTAGTCTAGTCTATACTATAGTCTAGTCTATAGTCTAGTCTATAGTCTAGTCTATAGTCTAGTCTATAGTCTAGTCTATAGTCTAGTCTATAGTCTAGTCTATTGTCTAA